TCCAAATCGGTGATTATATCGGTCGACGCGCGATAAAAACACTATACTTTTTGCTGTGAAATACACTCATTCATAGAATTGAAACTCTGACTCGTATAGAATGAGTAGTTTAATAGGCTTTTATAGCAAAAATGTATAGCGCGTCGACTGATATAATCACAGATTTGGACACCTAGGACATTCCGCTAGATTACCGGACCTGGACAGTCCTTTTATACCATACCATACGAGTATAATCCAGTTTATTTTATTTAATTAACTGAATAACAATTGCCGTTCTTGCATTGCTAATAAATAAAAATTTAATTTAAAAATGAATTTTTAATAATATAATATAATATAATGAAGTTGTTTTCGATTTGTATGTTATATAAGATAATTAAATATTTATTAATGATTAAAAACATTGATCGATACGAATTGAAAATTAAAAAATACATAATACAGTATTTTAATCTGAAAGTTGAATACTTTAACAATATACTGTAATTAAAGTATAAATTTGAGATAATAATAATTTGAGAATAATTAAGATGATTGAATATTTATATATTTTATATACCTAAATAACAATAATATCACTTTCATAATACTTTCTTAGCTTATCATAGATTTTCTTAATAGTCAAATGCATGTACACGACAACAATATTAAATGAGAGCATGGACAATCCAATCCACATACCAATAGTACCCCCGATATTATAAATAAGTTCGTTGTAATCCATAGCTAAATGTTCACTAATTTGTGGCTCTATATAATTTAACGGGATCAGATTGATTAGTGTGTAGTTTAAATTGGATCTCCCTGTTAATGGATTTACTTGTAACGTCACGTAGCTACATAGATTACCGTATTTAAAACATTGCTTGTAAATCGATTGACCCAATGTCTTATTCCCAGGTTTATTAGTATACGGGCAAAATTTATATCCATTATCTACCTTGTCCATGTATTTATCAATATTCAAGAAATACATATATTCGCGCACCGGTAGGCAACCAAACGTATCGTTCAACTTACGGATAAAGCACTCGGAATTGGTTAACAATTGCATGTAATTTATGTAAAACATGTCCGAATTGTGGTCACTATTAGCAATACAATCGTGTGATTGGCGTTTCAAACGTCGAAACGAGTGGGAAGTAAACCACACATTGGTTTCACTATTTGTCTCGATCCAGAAATCTGTAACCGCTTGAGACGACATGAACAGTAGGGACATCATGTTTATGGCCCAGGAGTCGTACTTTATGACTATCCGGGCCAGTTGTACACCATTCATTAGCGATTTACGAAGCACCCTACTTACATTACTATCAACAGGGAAGAAATTGTGACTATGCAAAAGGTTATTAGGTTGAAAACGAACGTTATTGACGGGCGGTGAGCATGGTACTCGGACGTCATTGGTTAATAAATAGTAGCAATCGACGAGGTTCGCTTTGTAATTGAATACGATATTTCGATATAGCTCAAGATTGTTTGTCGATAATATTTCCGACGCAATTTGGAATATTACCTCGATAATTAAGCCATGTCGTACGATTAAATTTGATTCCTGCTCAAACAATCGAATTCGATCGTAATAGTCGGGGTTATATTTGGATAATAATGTCATGTTGTTGATATAGTTTAAAAACATTACCATAAAGGAGGGAATACGTTGCTGAATCTTAAAGTCAATTTTAATTTTAACATTTTCGTTCCGGTAATAATTAGTAAACTCATACAATTGTACGGCCAGAAAATAAATGCAAATGACCAAGGGTAACATTTTCGCGTATTCAATTGCATTCCACAATTTTCGATATTTAACAAATGTCCAACGTTTAATTATTGTAAGTCTCCATGTATACTTTCTAATTGTATCAAGGCAAATACATATAATCGAGTAGAAACTGAAACCCAAATACATCCCCATAAGACCGCCCAGGGATGACAAAAATACAGTCGAATCCATTTTGGGGCTACACTTCCAAAACATTAGTATTCGCCTTCCGTATGAGTAGGACATGGATTTAAGGGGTTGGCCATTCTTTTGGGCCTGTATTCTGCGCTCGTGTATGAATACGTGTGTGAAGTAATTGTTACAGTCAGCCTTGCATTTTGAAAGTAGCCAACTCATGTTGGGTGTTATGAAACAGGTAGCGTTAGCGTTAGTGGCATTCATTTCTAATTGCTTAGGATTCGTATAAATTTCTAAACTCCAGTAGAGATTATGCCCGCATTTGCTCAGCTCTATTGCGCTCATCACTCGTAACATACAGTCGTCCCGTGATTTGGGTCCACCATTTCCGGGACGCATACGATTGCGCTCATAATCATAGCAATCAGACCGATAGGGTCGGGGCAGAAGTTGCTGTAAATTAGCGTCAATTAGGATAACCTGACTCGAAGTGGTAGCGATCGGGGTCAGTTTGGTAAAGTGTGACGGACTATATAACGGGTGAACGCCTACATCAATCTTATTATTGCACAGAAGCGCCATAAATACCATCCAATACGGGCCGATACTTTGTTGGTGATTGTAGTGATTGAGATAGTTCAAACAAAAACTCCGATCCCTCCGGTGCCGTACGTATACCGGCGCCAAATCGGCGCAATCAGTGGTAGAGCCGACGCCGCCCCGGGATGTGCACCAGAATTCAATGGACGCCCAAAAGGCATAATTGCTTTGATTCCGGAATTCCCGCGAATAGTGTCGATTGAAACACAAAGTTATGGACGAGTTGTACACAAAGTACGCCGACTTTGGGTCGTATTGCAAGTCGTAAATAACGTCATAATTTAAATAATTGACAATTTCTTCAACTATTTGATATGAGAAAAATGTGACCAAGATAAGCTTTACAAGTATACCAAAATTAATGTGAAAATACTTAGACATTTTAAAACTTATTTTATGATCAAACTGTTTATATCAGTAAACGAGTTCCAAATGTGGTATATAAGCTATTTCATACTAGTTTATAAAATTCATTATGAAAGTATCAATCAATATTCAATTAT